AGTGTGGGGCAGCTGATAAATTCTAAGAAAACCTAATGTCTAAAAGTGATGCATGAGGAATACTTCTGTCTAGATCTGCTCGATAGGGCTGTATCTCTGGCCAGTTTCATCACTAATCCTGTTTTTCCATCTGTTACTTAATCTGGAAAGTCTTAACACTTCGGAGATTGCAATGACTACACCAAATGTGTTGTAATACAATTGTACTTTGCATCAATGTTCTGTTGCAGTTTCACTGTAAAACAGAGCTATGTGTGAGCAAGAGAGAAAATATGCCATTCTCAGCTGTGTTCAGCCATGTAAAACTGTTCACTCCTTGACATTATCGCTGTCTGTTATATTTGCAGCACTGAAAAGCAGGAAAGCTCTTACTCAGAATAGTTATTGTTCTTTCCTTCTTCTTCATCTACTATGTCTCAGATGATTGCCAAAAAATTAGTAAAAGAAAAAAAATTATATAGAATAAAGAAATTCATAACCTAAGGTAATGTAGGCCRAGGTTCCAGGGAAAGGCTAGTGTTAAAACAAGTTAATATGGAGCTGATCTGTCTTCCTAAAATATAGACATTTAAATTATTATAGGTGGGATGGGCATCCTAAGTAAAATTGCACTGTCTTTGTTTCAAAGGTCAATATCTCGACAATGGCTCCAATGGTRTTTCGAGATGTTCTCCTTTACAAAATATGTTTTGTCATTGCCACAGTAGCTTTACTTTTCTACTCTTTATCATAGTCTTTCTGTGTGAACTTGCCAGCTTCCCTGATACTCAGAACACCAGTGCATCTGGGCTGCAAAAATGGCCCTTGTTCCCATCTAGAGTATAAAACCAATTTTCATAGGAGTTAAGAAAATCTCACAGCGTTGTTGCATAAATAACAATTGAATAAATCTTCCTTTCATGAAGCACTCTTAAAAGAAGGATAAAATCAATCATCGCTGTTTCTAGCTGCTCTGGTGTCCTAATATGTAACAACTTTAAGTAGATTAACTCCATGCCTTTGAGATTTCCCTGGTGACCTCTGGCCATGTGGATTACTGTGATTTGTCTGACGTCAGAAGAAACTTTCCTGTCTCCACTCATATAGTATTTCTCACTAAATGCTACTTGCTAGCTGTCATTGTAAAACAAATTATGGTAGTAATAATAGAGGTCAGACTATTGTTTCAAAGAATTGATCAAGAAACAATGATTGTAGGAACATTCTGGTATCTGAACTGTAAGGGTACTGAAATGGCCAAGCTGCTGAACTTCCCCTCTTCTCCAGACTTCTCTGTCCTTGTTGATCTCTCCTCTCTCCTCTCCTCTCCTCTCCTCTCCTCTCCTCTCCTCCCTCTTATATGAAATAGAAAATTCTGATATTAACTGTTACCTGAGTCACAGTCAAATTTATTCTTAACATGAAACAGAAATTATTATTTTGCTTGTAGGCAAGTAAGTTTTACAAGTACTTCGTCTGTCTCCAATTTATACTYTCCTTTGGCTCTTCTGTATTTCTCTCTACAGCACACTTAATTATATATCTATTCCTATTACTTATTGCTTCTTCTTGTTCATATCATTTAGCTTTTTTTGCTCTTTATATTTTTTCTGCACATGCAGTTTTATTCACTCTTCTTCTTCATTCCCCATTTCTAATTTCCTTTCAAATATTTCTGCTTTCTTTTCTACTTTTTAATGTATTTAACACTTCTGTTCTCTCCATTATTTTCCATATGGACAATTTCATTCACTTTAAATATATCTTACATCAATTTTCTGTCAGTCATGCATTATGTATCAGAAGGTATTTCACCTTTCTCAAAACCCATAAAGTCTGTGAACTTTCACCTTTTCAATGGGAAGTTCTTCAATAATTTCTGATATCTTAATGTTAGTTCAGCATATCAGACTCTGTTTATCAATTTCATGCAGTGGTCTCCATGTGTGGATCCAACTGAATATTACTGCTACCTTCTCATTTTATGATTTAGGAACATAGTGAAACCGTCATGTTTATGTAGATAGAACTTGCAGAGAATGAACTTATAAGCCAATTTTTCATTTATTCAGTTAGACATGATATTTTGCAGTAAAATATTCACTTTTTTATGATACTATTTGCTTCTTATTTCCTAATGAAAAATATCAGCACTGTTTAAATTTTCTAGATCCAAACTGGACTTAATTTTGCAGGAATTGGAAGGCAAGTTTTCCACTTATCCTTGAATTTTTGAACTTGAGCTGCAACTACATAACTTGTTTTTGCTTGCACCATGAAATGCCTTTTTTTTTAATAGAGGAATGAATATCTTGTTTACCACTTTTTAAATATAAGGAACCTATAAATGTGAGGCAAGTGGCACCAAAAACCCATGAGCAAATTATATTAAATTGCAGTTATTGTACTAGAGTGGCTTTTTTCTTGTTTAGCTTGCTGCAAGCTGCARCTACTAAGTGTTCCTTTGCAATGAACTTTAAGTTTTCCAAAGGTCAAGAATGATCTCGCTTTTAAATGGAAGAAAACCGAATGACATTTCATTGTTTGCAACTTCAAAATTTGTTTAATCTTACTTTTCATAAAGTGTGTTGACATAGTATTTGTGTACTGAGCACTTATATTTGAAATCACCATTAAGTTTTCCTTTTCTGACAAATAAAAATACCACTTGTCATGGTGCTGCCCTTGATCTGTTTTTAGCACTATTGTATAGTACTCCATATAACTTCTTTTCTTTTCCACATAAAGATGACAGCTCTGCTGTGCTAGAAGGAATGTATAAAATTGGGAAAGCCAGAATTTTCACTGCTTATTTTCCAYCTGACACTAACCCATTGTACTCTAAATCATACAATATTTGAGCTCAAGGATTACATAGGCAGAGGAAGCTGTCCTCTATATGCAGTTGTTACTTTATATTAGCATTCATAAGTTGTCACCTAAAATGTGATTCAAAATAGAATTTTTAGTTACGCCTATTAACCTTAAGATTGGCTTTAACTTGCTGGTTAGGCTGACCATAAACTTGCAGAATCTAGATTCAAGCTCCCGTTCACCTTCTGTTTAACATCAGACTTCAGTTCAGTTTTAGAGACTAACATTGGGCAACATCAGCAAGTCAGTTTTGTGTTTCCTATGTGCAGCAGTATGCAAAAAGTAAGACTTTAATACTCATCAACTCTTAAATTTTCAAAAAGTTTCTGATGTCATCTTGAAAGTTGTTCAGTATTCTTCTAATTATTGAGAAGATTGAGTTCCTCCCTCCCAGGAATATATAAAGCTACCCGAGCACTGAGGCTGTCCAAAGACAAGGACATGCTGGAGCCTGGATTCAAAGTGAAGTTCTGTAGGACAAGTGTGCTCTGGACATAATAGGATGCAAAGCAGGTGGAGGACACTTTGTCTTTTTAGTTGCAGTAACTGGATAAAATATCTTTCTTTACTTGGACCTAGATTTGGGGACTCAGCCCAGCTTGGCTGTGTAAGTGGATGCCCCACTCCAGACCCTCTTCCTCCCAGCAGATGTCATGACATGGGCACCACTCATGCAAATGCTCTCTAGTAACTTCAGGCAACCATTTTCCCCGGTGATGCAACTAACCAGGGTGCCAAACAGAAAGGAAAAATTGCTATTGCAAAAGAGATAAGCAAAGTCTTTATTCCCCAAAGTGAGAGAGAGGAATCACTGGGAGACCAGTTCTTCCTTGATCTTTCCTGCAGAGTCAGTTATTCATCAGCGATGGATGAGGCAGGGCACAGTCCAGACTGGGGCAGGGATCAGGCACATCTATCAATGCTCCCTCTCTTAGTATTGGCATCTGTATTATCTGGAGAATTTCAGGGGCTTGAGAGACAGTATTAGTCCAGTCCAGAGGTGCAGAAAGAGGATGTCAAATCCTTCCTCATTCCTCTACCTTGTAGAGATTTCTCTGTCTTTGAGCTGTTGGCTGACTGGGAGTGGAATTAGACTGTCTGCTTTYCTTTAAGCTGATTTATATCTGTTCACCACCAAAAAGACAATATATATAATGGATGTGCTCCTTAATTAGAGTGTTGTAAAAACTGTAATTATAGCTCCTAAGTGAACTTCTAGGTCTGCATACATAAGTGATTTCAGGTTTGTCAATGAAACCTCATAGGGGAGTAAGCTGGTTTCCAAAATCTACCTTTTTGTGTTTTGTTTTCTATAATCAATAATATCTTCTAAATTATATGTTCTTTAGATAAATGTGCTTATTATAAGGCTGTTGATGTAATTTGCATCACTAAAGTATTGGTGATGTAAAGTTGATATAAGTTGATGACTTTTTACTTTCTTTTTAGTATCAGTCCCCTAAAATAATAATTATTAAATAGTAAGAAAAGAAAAGCAACATATTTTAAGTCTTTCATAAACAAAATTATTTAGGCAATTTCTTTATTATTTAGGCTCATGGAAATACATGCTATATTGGGGACAAAAGTGAAATTATAAGAGCAATTTGCTTGTACTACATGCAAGCCAGTCAAAAGCATTTGCTGTGCCTGATTGTGATCTATTAGCAAACAGTGCATCTTTTGTTGTGTGCAATTCAAGTGATTTTGTGTTTCCTGTTAGACTTTGAACTCATGCTGCATCTTCAGCTGTTACTTAGATATTGCAGCCAAAAAAAGATATTCTGCACAGACGGAAGACGATGAAAGAATATTTCCTGGGAGGCGAGAAGAAAATTGACTTGTTCAATGTAAAACAACTAGATAAATGAGCTTCTGCTCTTGTTTTTTATATCTTTTCTTCCTTTTCTTCTTCCCTTTCAAATCACCCYATGAAAGCAAGTGCAGAAAATGAGAGCAAAGGACAGGGACATTTTTCTATTAATGGGTGAGAGGAAAAGAGGACAACTGARGAAGACTTCTGGCTGTCCATCCACCATGTAGCAACTAGGCGTGCTGTGTCTACCCCCATAACAGAGTGCACCTAGAGAGCCATGCAGACCTGCACTGTGAAGCATCAAGGCTCGGAGTCATCTCAGCAGGACCTCACAAACCTGAGCTACCTGAGCACCACCACTTGTGTCTCTGCATCATAATTTTTTAAGTAAGTGCTTTCGTTTCCTGAGATAACTTCAGATGACAAATTTGCATTGAATATAGCTAAAYTGGGTCCAGGGTTTGATTTGTGCAGGCTCAGAGCTGACTGACCTTTTTTTCTGCATGTGAGCTGGCCTGGAAATGGCACAGGGTGTCTGCTGCCCACACCTGCCCGAGCAAGGCCAGCTGCTCYGAGCCCGCTCCGCACGGAGCCAGCGCTGAATCTGCCTATCCAGGGCACTATTAATCCACCTGGATTTGATTATAAATGGTTAATCCCTTTGGATAAACCTCAGATAATGGGGACTGACTAAATCCCTACCGCATAAGAAATGTCAGTATTCATTGAGTCTAATAGCAGATTTTCTGACCTAAAGTAGAATAGCTTGTTTTTGCCAAAAAAAATAAGCAAATAAATAAATAAAATTGAATTGGGTTTCTATCTCAATCAAGGATTACATTTGGAAGGATTTTAAAAAGTGGATTTAAAAGATTAATTTAAAATAATCTCTACAGTTCAATGGGATTTAGAATTCTATTAATATACATTTTTAAAACATTTTAAATCCTTTTAAATAGTAATTTTTGTTCTTTTTGCTTAAAAAAACTTTCTTTCCAATTTGTATCATACTGCTAGTGTTATGATGTGTGGTTAATTATCACCCTAATTAATATTGGCTCATGAAGGCATAGGTGACATTAATTTCTCTCCTATACCTAAGTAACCTTTTTTATTTTAGAAAAAGATCAGAGTCTGGCCTGAGGAAAGATGTTTTATATCTAGTAGAGTGAGAAATCTGTCCTCTGAATACTCTTTTTACATAACACCTTATTACACTGGCAGCAATCAACAAGAAATGGTTTAAAACACATAAGATACTGGGAGACAGGGCCTTTCTATTATTTGGGGGATTTATTTTTTCTGTTTGAGGAAAGTAAAATGCTCCTCAAATAGGTGCTCTTTTGGTTTTATTTGGTGCTTACTTTTTCTATAAGGTTAGAAATGCTCACAAAATGCACTTAAAGCTAACAAGAATTGGAGCACAATGTATGAAAGAATGTGCTGTGGGTCCTTTAAAATGAAATACTCCTGAGGAGTTTCTTCTGACCGTGTTAAAGGAGTGCTCCCTGCTCTTTCGAAGGTTTTTCCTGCTGATTCTTGATTCTGCCAGGCCTCTATGTTCCCTTTTTTTTTTTTTTTTTTTTCTCTGACTTTGTGGTGAAATGGGAGATATGGATTACTGAGCAGATATAAACCTTGTACTTTAGAAATTGTACTTTGGAATTTAGGTCTTGGATGTGCTGTGGGGAGAGGTGGTTCTTTTGTAGGCAGCCAGAGGATTTTGTGTCAAATTAATTCTGTCCTCTGTACTGAAAAGAGGTCATTCCAGTTACCCAATTGTTTAAGAATTATTTTAAGCTTGCCATTAAGAAGAGTGAAAATCTCTTTCTGGAAAGGGTCAAAAGTAAGATCTTAAGCAGCCCGGTCAAGTTGATGGGAGTCCTAGCCTAGCAAACCAGAGAAGTTTGCTCTATCTTGACGTTTTTAATAAGTTAAAGACCAGCTGCGTTGCTGCTAATTTAGATTCCAGTCACAAAGGCAGAAAGCACTCTTGGTTTCATGGTGTTACAAATATGTTCTCCAGTCTTGTGTATTAGTTACACGCTGCACAATTTTTCTAAAGCCACCTCTATAAGCAGACATCTCYATGCCATTAATACAATATGCTGCTCATATCAGCTACACCAGTTACACCCTAATACAGACCTGCTGTCTTTATTGAACTGTTTCAAAATCTGTGTAAACATCTTAATAAACTGAGATTGAGACCTCAAGTTTGTACCACTATAAAAATACACTGGAAACAGTTAATTAAAAAAAAAAAGAAAGCCCCAAAACAATGCTTTATTTTCTTCTTTTCACCATGTGACCACTTGTCCACTTGTGGGGACCTTGCCCCTCTGCAGCTGGGACCAAAAGGATCTGATGCTGTGGACAGGGAAGGGGCTGCTTCAGCCTGCATGGGCAGAAGGGAGACAGTAGGACTGCTGAGGCTGGTGGATCCCACATTGCAAAGGAATCCTCTGACACCTCCTGCCTACACGATATTAGTGCCTACCCTATTAGAGAAATAGTTCAGTTCTACCTTAAAAATTATTTATAATGCAAATGCTAGACCTCATTCAGTACAGGTCTGAAAACACTCATCACTTGGTAGTCTAGTAATAAGCTTCTAAGTAACCTCATATAGTGATAACCTTGGCATAATGTGCCAAGCAACAACAGTAGCAAATGGGGAGTCCATTTGTGCATGATAATAGTGCTGAAGCAAGAAAAACAAGTAAAATCTTGTATGTTTTCTAAAAGAAGAGTTATGAAACTCATTTGAGAAAATGACAGTTGTTTTTGAGGGTGTCATGTAATTCTCTAGGGAGTTAGGCCCACGTGCAGCATGGGGATGCTACAAATATATTAATCACATTGAATCATAAGGCAAAAATGGAGCTTTACAGAGCTCTTAGGAAGAAAAGATGATAAGGACCATCTCATTACAGAAAGAAGATAAAATAAGATTCTAAAAATTAATCTACATTTTGCATTCTTTAGTCTTGTGTTGAATTTCCTTTTTAGAAAGATTTAGGCAAGTTGAATGATAAATGGACAAACAGTAATATTTAGAAGAAGTGGATAGAGAATCAAGTAAACATTTGTCATGTGTATTGATTAAAAGAAGTTATTTTGTTTAAACAARTGACAGTTGCTACCGAAGTCTTTCAGAAGTGTGGGTTATGGTATAAATAGATTGAGTTAAATGGATATTGCAAAATTAAAAGCTCCCATCTCATTTCTGTTTAGTACTCTAACATTTACATCTATTGAAATAATTTTATTGATAACAGCATAACTCCATATCACTAAGCTGAGTAATGCTGAACCATAATGCTGAAATTTTTCCTGTAAAAGATCACAGGATATGGCCAATATTGCATGTGACATTCCACAAAGACAAAAAGGTAGGCAGCTGCGTTTGATGGAGTCATTCTTTTTTGTCAGTGATTAAGAAACTCCTTCCATTAGCAGATGCAGATCTTTAAAAAGTGATGTTTYAATTTGAATCTCAGCAAAGAGTCATTCTTTACTGAAATTCACATTACAACATTGCATTATAATTGAGGGCCCATAACCCTTTTTAAGGCAATGTTTTCTTTTTAATAGTATCCTGACTGCCAAACAGACACTTGAAGTCACTAACTTTATTATTAAATTCTAGTTTTATAGGTTCAAACTGCAGCAAATCATAAACCAATCTTCATTTGTGTTAAATTATGGAAGAGGAGATGAGACCCAGCAGAGAGTTCCTGTCTAGTGAATCTGGCATCAAGGCAATGAAAAAGCACAGTTTAGCTCAAAATGGGCTTGAAAATGATTTACACTATCAAATAAAGTGTGCTTCTCATTTATTGTTGCTCAGATATTAGTGTATATCATAAACCCAGCTCAGTTTGTATCTGCACGGATGCGCTCCATTCAACAAAACAAAGATAAGTATTTCTGTAAAGCTGTCAGAAAAACAAACCTGTTACTGCATAAAAATACATGCAGCACACAGAAAGCTTTATTTTAATGAATTTATTGTGTAGTGCTTATCCTAGGCTCCTAGGCAGGGGACAGTGATTTATAACTCACAAAGCAGCAACCCTGATAGGATGATGAAGGGTCGCTTCTTCTCATTATGCCAGGAGAGCTTCTTTTCATCTCTTTTCTTATTCTCTGTTCACAAGTTTGCCCTTGGCACCATCAGTCAACAGGCAGCACAGTTTACAAACACTGTTTTGGCTGGCAGAAAATAAATTGTTCAGCCAATGATATGAAATCTATCAAATTCCTTCTAAACTGCATCTTGAAACCACCATTCAAGCCCTCAGACCCAGGCTGATCCATACTTTAGATAACATGTTACTTCTGAAAGACAGATTCTTCCTCTCTCCCATGCTATCCAAAGCAAGATGTATTTCCTTACATCTTTCTGTAGGCATAGGCTGAACAGCTTCCAACCAAGATCTGTAGAGACTAAATCATTTGTCCCAGGACCTTTTTTTCTTTTTTTTTTTTTTTTGTGTTACGGGCACTACATAGACAGCTTTATGGACAGACAGTCTATCCAGGTTTGTCATTCRGGGTGACATGTGAATAACTCCCAACATGGTAAATAAGACCAGACCTCACTTTTAAAAAGAAAAGTTGAAAACAAGCAAACAGACAAACAAATTGAAATGTGTCAGGTACAGGTTTAGAAGCATTGCTTGTCAGAGACTGTGTTGTATCTGTTTGGCAGAAGCCACATAAAGGCATTTAAAGTATAAGGCAAGACTTGTTTGAATGATTTGGTGTGCAAACATGCACATGGTCTTGCAAACAAATGAGTGATCTGCAAATGACTGAAGGAGCTAAATGGGGAACCAGATGCTTGTATATTTTATCTTAAAAATAAATAAATCTGAATTACAAATATGAACAGAAGAGAAAGTRTACACTCTACTCTGACTTTCCTTGACAAATTGGATGTGACTGTAAGTTAGCAAAGACAGACTAGAATGATTGAATAAAAGACAGAATATGAAAGGTATGAAGAGTAAAGAGAGTGAAGCCTTTAAAGGTTGTACATACATATTTTCTAGTGTTGAGTCTTGAGAAATACCTAGTAATCATTATTATTGTGAACTATGAGCACCACAGTCAAAGAATTATTTGCTCTGTCAGTCCACATTAATATTTAATTTTAAAAATTAGAACTGTCATGAATATTACCTTGATAACTTCCTAATATTACCTTCACAAGAGGATGAACCTGAGGTCATAAAACSTTTTTCAGAATGAATCAAAAGAATAGAATGTGTAGTTTTCAAAGCTTTCGTTCTGGATAAATTCCTTCCATGTGTCAGCAATGGTTTCCATCAATAATTGAAAATAAAAAGGTGTATAAAGTAGCCAGGGTAAAAGTTCCA